ACGCGCGCGCGCACACACACACATATATAGTTTCTTATTTTATAAATTTTGGTAGGAATGCAAGGGTTCTATAGACCAAAATGTTTTCCAAAAAAACTTAGTAGTAGAAAATCCTAAACAACGGGATATTCTTCATGAATCTGGTTGTTATTGTCAAAATACTAAGCACAGAAGATTTAAAGGAGATGTCTTAGGATATTGTTCACCCGTGAGTAATATATATTACATAGTTATTGGTTATTGTAACATTGTCAGGTATATATATAAGATCATAATGAAATCCAATGATATACTTAATATCAAATTGTATTATTACAAATTTCTTTTGAAAATTTGTTAACAAAAATTCTATAGCAAGATCATAAATATTTTTTTTGTTTATATATTGTATTGATTAAAAATCTGTTTTCATTGACTGTCTGCTTTGAATCAGTCATTTGTAGCTAATTTTAATATAATATATTTTATCAATTTTGTGAGTTACTATATTTACATTGAATATAATTCAATTTTACAGTGGAATGGAAATGGTTTTGAGATTGCCAAAACATTTCACGGCAAGTTTACAATGGTATCTCCAGTATGGCTGGCTTTTCCTTTTGGCAATACTTCAACCTACCAATTGTCTACTAATTCCGTTCAAACTACGTGGATAAAGGAAATGAGAGCCAATAACAATGTTAATCATAACGTAAAGCGTAAGTTGAAATTAATCGAAGTATGATTATATAAAATTCTATACTGATCTCTAATTCTTTACTATTTCTGTTTTTAGTTGTACCCAGGGTATTATTTGAACATTGGTCAATTGATGACATTATCAAGATATATAGTAATACAGACAGTAAAACTCAATTAATAGTATCTCTCTTAGATGCTGCCAAAGTATGTAACATACATTAAATACTTTTTATATGAGGGTAAACTGAAAAATTTTGTTTCCAATAATAAAACAGTAATCAATGTTTATAAATTAATGAAACAAACTAATATAGAAATAATAAGACTAATAAAGTAGCAAGAGAAGATGTACAGTTAAAAATAATTTATTATAATAAGAGTGTTAAGAAAAACGAAACATTTCAACTTATTTTCTCACAACTGTCAAATAACATTGACAGCAATCTAGGTCAAACCGTAAGTTGGGCAAAGGATCAGTCATGCAATTTTTATCAATCAACAGCTCTAAACACGTCAAAAATATGTCGGAAATGACTATTCACACTCGTGATAAAAGAAAAAATTAAATTTTGTCGAATAGTGTTACAGGAAAAAAAGTTATATATTCAAAATGCTATATCTTAGAAACAAGAAAGCATTCGTAACAAACTAAAATGTATTTTATATCTAAAAGTTGATGTTTTCATGTGGCATTATTGAAATTAAGCAAAAAAAAAAAAATAGCTGCAGGGCTGAACAGCTTGAAAACTCTCATCTTTTTCGGCTCTTTGAGGCTATTTTTCTCAAAGTTGTGACGTAGCTAACATTTGTCAACGGATTCATGTTCAGCAGGCAAAAATACATCAGAAATGACTATTCGCACTTGTGATGCAAAAATAAGGTCAAATTTTGTCGAACTGTGTAATTATTAAATATTATTGTATAGTAAATATATACTGTAAATTATTTTGAAACATAAATTAATTATTTAATCTTAATTTTGCTTTATTTTATTGACTTTACTACTTTTCTATTGTATTATATAACTGTTGGTTTTTCTTTTAGAAATGAAAGTAGTTTTATTATTTATTAATACGACGATTTTTACAGATCATTCTACTTGCTTTTAATGAAATTTATCTGTTGCAGTCACCTTGTTGATCGTGATTTATCAGCCAAATCTTTCCACTTCTTTACCTTTAAAAGTTAACACTCAATGTCTTAAATCTCAATTCTCAAATCAACACACTTACTCTCATAAACAACTTATAATCTTCGAATGTCAATTGGAACATTTTCTATTATAAGAAATTCAATAACAATGTTGCTTGAAATTAAAACGTTTATAACGCTATGCTCAGAGAAGCACGATGTGTTGCAAGTTCTGATTGGCACAAATAACATACTGATTTGGCAGCAATTTATAATACATAGGCAATATTATTGCTTATATACTATTACGACTGTTTTATGTTATGTGTAAATTAAAACATTGTATTGTATAACTATACATTTGTATTGTACATTTATATGTAACAATATATATTTACGCTCTAGCATATAAAAATATTTTTTAAAGTTTTTTAAATGTTATTTGTGTGGCATAGTGTGGCTTATTTTGCATAGGCATAATTTTTAAAATAATCTAGTCTCATTAAAACATTCACACAATTAATTAATATATTTATTTATTTATGTATTTTCTAATATACTTTTAGACTCATTTATTTATAAATTTTTTTTAAATTTTATAATTTGTATTTATTTTGTTGTTTTTTTCTCATCCATTTAGCCAGCACGTCATGCTTTCATTTTCTATTTTATTCTCAATACTCTGTAGAGCTAATTATGATACTGACTTAAACCGACCGATGCTTCTCTGAGTATAGCATTAAAATTTTACTTGAAATACACGTCTTGACTGGTCGTTATTTTAATCTATATTGAACTAAGGTATTGAACTAAGGTGTAAACAAGTACGCTATATAACCTTGCAAGAAGGTTGAAGGCGCTATAATTCACCAGCCGATAAAGTAAAAGGAGAAAAAAAGAGTTGTAAACAAAGTAAGAATAATTTCTGGCGAACCAAGAACGGAAGATTATTTCAAATTTACCAAATTTTAATTGAATTCATTCATTTTAAATGAAAATAACTATTTTTAATACAGAGGGAACAAAACTTTTCAGTCCAGCTACGTATATACATAATTATTGTACACATTCTCTATCTATAACTAGAAATATATGATTTATAAACATTTTGCATTTACAGACTTTCCATTTCGACGGATATGTCTTAGAAATGTGGAATCAGTTTGTATTTGCAGGTGCAAATTTATCAATTATTACTTCTATAGTCAAATCCATTGCACGAAGATTGAAGAAACATAATTTAGATATTATATTAGCAGTACCACCGTCTAGAGGGTATTTGATACTTTTTGAAATACATATATTGTGCATAAATTTAATTTTTTACTTATTCGAATCTTCCTTTTAGTGCACAACTTGAATTGTTTTCAAAGCAACAGTTTGACGAACTAGCACCATATGTAAACACCTTTTCGCTTATGACTTACGATTATTCAAGTATTCAAAGGCCAGGTCCAAATAGTCCTCTCGAGTGGGCTAGACAATGTGTAGAATTATTAGCCCCAGAAAAAAATGATCCTAGACGATCTCAAATTTTATTAGGTATTAACTTTTACGGTTACAATTATACACCGGAGGGTGGCAAGGCAATTCTCGCCTCTGAATATTTAGATATATTAAAGTTATTTAAAGGAAAGATTCGTTGGGATAATAGCAGCAAAGAGCATTTCTTTGAACCAAGGTAATACTTCATTATAATCTATGTGTATATATACATATATAGTCACCAAATTATAATTGTCCGAACAATGCGTTAATATATCGATAATTTCTAAAAATTCAAGATAGAGCAACTTTGTTAAAAATTATCGTAACGAGATTTTTAAAAAAGTTGTTTACAGCTTGAAATCGCTATTTTTTAAGTTGATACTTTAGAAAACGATTAACTGACTTTCTTGGGAGTCGCATTAATATAAATGGAGATATGACAAATCGCAAAATTTTTTCCTAACTTTGCACAGTTTCACGGCCCGAAATAAAAATGTCCGCACAAAACGAAGTGTACAGTTTTCGAAAAATCTTTTTCTTTAATTTACTTTTTTGTTGAGTGTTGTATTTTTTTTCATCGAGTTATTCAACTTTGAAGCAAAAATGACCTTTTCTGCTTTGATGTTCAATAACTCGGTGAAAAAAAATCGTACAACGCTCAACAAAAAAGCAAATTAAAGAAAAAGATTTATTCTTTCGAAAATTGTACACTTGTATGTTCTGTTCACCTGTGTATGTTCTTCTTCTCCGCTCGTTCTGTCTCTTTTCTGTATCTATTTCTTATCTGCTTTCCTCTTACCTGTTTTTGTTTTCTTTCTTTTTCTCTTCTCAATCTGGCTTTCTCGTCTTCTCTGGCTTTTTTACTCTCTTTTCTATTTTTAATCTTTCTCTCTTTTTGCCTCCTTTTTTCTCCTTTCCTCTTATTTATAATTAATATGAAAAAAATATTATAAATTTATTCTTTTTTAATATTATATGTATAAATCGATATTTTTATTTTAGATTAACTATAGGTAATGTGCGTGGAATCAGCTACATCTTCTACCCTACGTTATATTCAATTAAGGCTCGATTAGACCTTGCTAACGAATTGGGTACAGGAATCTCGATTTGGGAATTAGGTCAAGGATTGAATTATTTTTATGACTTATTATAAATTGTTACATAATATCTTTCATTTAATATAACTAAAATTTTGTGATACTTATATAAAGATGCATGTACATAAAAGAAAACCATAAAATATATTTCAACAATTATATATATAAAATTTATGTATTATTATAGTATGAATTAAAAAATATATTTATTCTGCTTCATATAATTTTAATGCACGCATATATCTTTATAATTCATTGTACTATTATTATCATAATCTATATTGTTTGATTCACGACCTTTGAATGTCATCATAATCTGTGGTCCTTTCAAAATGTGATACATTAATGCCCAGTTCATCTTCATCGGTAAGAGGCTAATAAATAACAATATCAATAACTACAATATATATATACTGCGATCTTCGCAATAGTTATGGAGATACTAATCATTTTAAAAAAAGAAAAAATTTTACGTAATGGCCAAGTTTTTACTTCATAATTCTATTAATCATTGTAATAACTTTAAATCAGTTTTACGAAACTTAAAGTTATTTGGAAAGACAATGGCATTAAACTTTTGCTGTATATAATTTTGAATAACTTAAACGATTTATTAAAAAATTTTTTTTCTGGTTTGGAATAAAATATTTTTGTCTCTACTCTCTATGTCTAATCAAATACTTGGCAATTTGTATGATCTCATTTTTGTTTTTGGACAACTTTTATTTGTTAAAATAATATTTTTGGTTTAGATAAGAGATCGGAA